TTATTAAATAAGTATTTGTAGCCTTCCATGCGCCAGACACTGTCTGGGTGCAGCAGCAAAACAGACAAGAACCTGCCTTGGTAGAGCTTATTTTCCAGTTAGAGAAGACAGATTGTAAAAAGATACAGGATGGTAGATGACTTTATGTGCTATAGAAAAAAAATGATGAAGCAGGAATAGGATTGTGGCTGTTAAGGGAGGGAATTGCTTTTTTTTTTTTTTTTTTCCCAGACAGAGTCTTGCTCTGTCATCCAGCCTGGAGTGTAGTGATGCAATCTCAGCTCACTGCCACCTCTGCCTCCCAGGTTCAAGCGATTCTTCTGCCTCAGCCTCCTGAGTAGCTGGGACTACAGGTGTGTGCCACCACACCCGGCTGATTTTTGTGTGTGTGTGTGTTTTTTTTTTTTTTGAGACGGAGTCTCGCTCTGTCGCCCAGGCTGGAGTGCAGTGGCCGGATCTCAGCTCACTGCAAGCTCCGCCTCCTGGGTTCACGCCATTCTCCTGCCTCAGCCTCCCGAGTAGCTGGGACTACAGGCGCCCGCCACCTCGCCCGGCTAATTTTTTGTATTTTTTAGTAGAGACGGGGTTTCACCGTGTTAGCCAGGATGGTCTCGATTTCCTGACCTTGTGATCCGCCCATCTCGGCTTCCCAAAGTGCTGGGATTACAGGCTTGAGCCACTGCGCCTGGCCCGATTTTTGTGTTTTTAATAGAGATGGGGTTTCATCGTGTTGGCCAGGCTGGTCTTGAAGCCCTGACCTCAAGTGATCCACCCACTTCGGCATATCAAAGTGCTGGTATTTACAGGCATGAGCCACCATGCCCAGCCAGGAATTCATTTTTAAGGGTGTCAGGGAAGACCTTACAGAGATGGTGACAAGGAAAGTCTTAGCAATGGTGAAGGTGTGTGCCCTGAGAACATCGAGGGGAGGATTTATTCAGACAGAAAATGACACGTGCAAAGCCCCAAGGCAGGAATGGGCCTATTCTGAGGAACCGAAACAAAAAAGGGCAGTGTAGCTGGTACATAGTGAGATCAGGAAAACATAGCTGGAAATGAGGCCAGAGAGGTAATCAAGTCCAGATTGTGCAGGACCCTTTTGGCCATTGTAAGGCTTTCACTCAGAGGGAGTTGGGATTTTACTGGAGGTTCCATCAGAGGCCATGATTAAACTAGTAAAATAAAAAAATACTTTTGTCTTGGCTTTGCTTTTTCAGAAGATTTTGTCTCAAAATAATTTGGGGATTAACTCATGGTTCCTGGTGGTAGTCATATGTAGATTTAAACCTTTATATTAGTACAGAAAATTTCCCTGAAATATAGATCTTAGGTATGGCATTTAAATTCAAAGAAAGTAATAGAAAATCCTGCCTATAGGTATTTATTCCTGGGTGGCCTTGTTTTATTACTGACTTCTCATCCTAAATTATCTTTTTTTTTTAAAAAAAACTGTATTATGTGCAAGATGTACTCACACTTATATATCATTGGAGGCTAGAGATCTACTCTATTAGGTTATTTTAATCATGTATGCTTTGAACTTTTTTTTTTTTTTTTTTTTTGAGACGGAGTCTCACTCTGTCATCCAGGCTGGAGTGTAATGGCACCATCTTGGCTCACTGCAACCTCTGCCTCCTGGGTTCAAGTGATCCTCCCACCTCAGCTTCCCAAGTAGCTGAGATTACAGGTGTGTGACACCATGTCCTGCTAATTTTTTTTGTATTTTTAGTAGAGATGGTGTTTCACCATGTTGGCCAGGCTGGTCTTGAACTCCTGATCTCAAGCGATCCACCCTCCTCAGCCTCCTAAAGTGCTGGAATTACAGGCGTGAGCCACCATGCCTGGCCTGAACATTTTTTATTATGAAATATAACAGAAAAATACACAAAACATGACTGTATAATGTGAGGATTAATTACAAAAGGCAAATACCTATGTAACCACCAGTTAGACCTAGAAATGTATCATTGCCAACACCTGGAAGAAGCCTGTTGCGTCTCACTTCTAGATCATAACCTATACCATTGCTCAGAATAACCACTGTTCTGACGTATGATAATCATATCCCTATTTTTCTTCATGATTTTACCACCTAGGATTCATTCTAAAACAATATAATTTAGTTTTTAAACTGTTTTTAAACTTTGTATAAATTGCAATAATATATTATGTGATTTTTACATTTTTATGTCTTCTTTCAGGAAGAACCTAACAATATGTATGTTCATAACTTTCATCCATGTTGCTATATAGAACTGTAGTTTGATTTCATTGCCATATAGCATTCTGTTATATGAATATACCACAATTTATGTATTCATTCTGTTGATAGACACTTGGATTGTTTCTAGTTTTTGGCTGTTAATGAACAATGCTGCTGTGAACATGTACAGAAGTTTCTTTAGACAATGTACTTGCAGCAGAATTGTAGAATCTTTAGTCTTATTAGATAATAAACTATTTTCCAAAGTGGTGGTACCAGTTTGTTCTCCTACCAACAGTATGTTAGTCTCCCTGTTCAGCCCTTAGCAGTATTGTCAGATGCTTTAAATTTTGAGAAATCCAAACCTTAAGCTTAAAAAAAAATTGGAGAGTAAGGGACTAAAGGTATTGGTTTCTGCTTTAAGAATCATAGCTATTCATTTTCGTTTGTTAAGAAAATGCCTTCTATCTTTCTATCCTCAGAGGGTCAGGAACCTTGTCTGTCTCTTTTACCACTGTGTCGCAAAGAATGCCCTGCAGTTGATACTCAGTAAATATTTGTTGCATGAATTCAGCCTGACTCCTGCTACTATTAACTGAACTACGTGGGATTGTTGGCACATTCTCTGCTTACTGCAACCTCCGCCTCCCAGGTTCAAGCGATTCTTCAGTCTCAGCCTCCCAAGTAGCTGGGATTACAGGCACCCGTCACCATGCCTGGCTAATTTTTGTATTTTTAGTAGAGATGGGGTTTTACCGTGTTGGCCAGGCTGGTCTCGAACTCCTGACCGCAAGTGAATTTATTTTATGGTATCTGATTAAGACTGCCCTGTTTTAGCATCAGTCATTTAGCACAGTTTTTGGTGATGGCTATTTGATCACTGATAGTAACTGGACTTTGTTTACCAAAAGCTATTATATAGTCTAAGAGAATCTTATTTGTACCAATGTACTAGTTAAAGTTGGTGCTTATATTTTCAGAAAGAGACTCTTTTTTTTTTTTTTTGAAACGGAGTCTTGCTCTGTCACCAGGTTGGAGTGCAGTGGTGCGATCTTGGTTCACTGCAACCTCTGTGGGGTTCAAGTGATTCTCCTGCCTCAGCCTCCCGAGTAGCTGGGACTACAGGCACGCACCATCATGTCCAGCTAATTTTTGTATTTTTAGTACAGATGGGGTTTCACCATGTTGGTCAGGCTGGTCTCAATCTCCTGACCTTGTGATCCTCCTGCCTCGGACTCTGAAAGTGCTGGGATTACAGGCGTGAGCCACTGTGCCCAGCCGAGATTCTATTTTTAAGGAATCACTTACCCATGATTTATGCAATACTTTATTTTCTCACAAAAGAGAATATAGCAGTGGAATTTTCTGCCTATGTTAGACTCCAAGAAGCATTGCTACTTCTCTTATCCCTGTTTCTGTTTTGAGCTACTTTGTAGGATACGGTGGATTATCAGAGGTTGGTGTTGCTTGGCTCTCTCTCCAGTCTTCAACAGGAACCTCTTTCTCTCCCTTGTATAATCAGTATTAATCCAGTCTTTAATGTCCACCATTCTGCATCTCATTGTCACAGTTGTTTATTAAAACCATAGGGCCAGGCCTGGTCGCGTGTGCCTTTATAGTCCCAGCTACTCAGGAGGCTGAGATAGTGCGCTGTGTTCAGGCCTGTGAATAGCCTTTGTACTCCAGCTGGGGCAACATAGTGAGACCTTGTCTCTAAACAGAAACCATAGGATACATGGCTTTGTTTAAATGCATCTTGCTTTGGTGTAATTTACCCATAGGGCACTTTTTTAAAAGGGTGTTTTACATTAAAACTTGTAATAATTCTTTCAGCATTTTGTGAAAGAGCTGGCAACAATGATCTCTCTTTTCTTGTAAGTATTGACACGAGACAAGTCACTTCATTTTTGCTGCACTCATAGGTCAGTTTATTAGAATAACTAGCTTGGGGCTGCGTGTGGTGGCTCACGCCTGTAATCCCAGCAATTTGGGAGGCCGAGGTGGGCCAATCACTTGAGGTCAGGAGTTTGAGACCAGCCTTGCCAACATGACAAAATCATGTCTCTACTAAAAATACAAAAATTAGCCAGGCCTGGTGGCAGGCACCTGTAATCCCAGCTACTCAGGAGGCTGAGGCAGGAGAATTGCTTGAACCTGGGAGGTGGCCGTTGCAGTGAGTGGAGATCACTCCACTGCACTTCAGCCTGGCTGACAGAGCTGAGACTGTATCTCAAAAAAAAGGAGAATCAGCTTGGATTTTTCTGACTTCCATTTCTAAGTATAACCTTTTTTTGAGAGATGACTAAGAAATAGAGCATTCAGAGCTAGTGATGAGATAAAGGAATGGTAATTTTTTTGTTTGTTTTTTGAGAGAGTCTCACTCTGTCGCCCAGACTGGACTGCAGTGGCATGATTTTGGGGTCACTGGAATCTCCGCCCCACCCTGCCCCCAGCCCGTCCCCCACCACCGGGTTCAAGCAATTCTTGTGCCTCAGCCTCCTAAGTAACTGGGACTACAGGCGCGCACCACCACGCCTGGCTAATTTTTTGTGTTTTTAGTTGAGGCAGTGTTTCGCCATGATGCCAGGCTGGTCTCAAACTTCTGGCCTCAAGTGATCCACCCGTCTTGACCTAAGAATGGTAATTTTGACTAGTAAATTTTTACTAGTCATTTCTTTGCAAATGTATCACCTTCTTTTGTGAGATTTTTCCTTTTTAGGAATAGACAAAGTAAGTAGAGACTTGTATGAGATTCAGAATCTAGTTAAGTCTGATTCATATTCTCTATTTCCAACAGAGATTTCCTGTTAGACAAGACAAATTAGAGTTTTCCTACTGACTTAACTTGGTGAGTTTTTACATAGTTTTATTTTAAATATAGTTTAATCATGAGGGAAAAAGCAGAATGAAATGCATAAAAACATTTACCATGACTTAAAAATACACCTCTTGAGTACAATCTACTGTTTCATTTTAGTGCAAATGATAGGTAAAGTTAAAAAGTTAAAGTCATATAAGGTAAGCATGTAAGATTTTCTTTTTAAAATAAGAATCATTACAGTGTTAAATAAACATTTTTCATAAGTGGCTTCAAAAAAAGTTTTATTTTAAATATTCTTACCTGGAGTAAGCCAGAACTATTTATTCTGATCTTCTCTGGTGATTTCTAGATATAGGATAAGACTTTACAATAATGGTAAGGGGAGAAATGATATTTGAATTTAAATTTTTAATCAGTGGTTGATAATATATGATATGGAAACCTTAGAGTCAGATTATTTTTCTCCCTAGAAAAGTTCCTCAGGAATGCTGGGCATGGTGACTCATGCCTGTAATCCCAGCACTTTGGGAGGCTGAGGCAGGAAGATTGCTTGAGCTCAGGAGTTCAAGACCATTCTGGCCAACATGGTAAAAACCCATCTCTACAAAAAATACAAAAATTAGCCAGGTGTGGTGGCACATGCCTGTAGTTCCAACTACTCAAGAGACTGAGGTGGAGGATAATTTGAGCTCAGGAGGTCTAGGCTGCAGTGAGCCATAATTGTGCCACTGCATTCCAGCCTGGGCGACAGAGCAAGACCTTATCTAAAAAACAAACAAACAAACAAAACCCAAAAACATAAAAGACCTTCAGGGAAATTAGAATTACAGTTTATGAAAAGAGATACTTGGGGCCAGGTGCGGTGACTCATGCCTATAATCCCAGCACTTTGAGAGGCCTAGGCAGGTGGATCACTTGAGGCCAGGAGTTTGAGACCAGCCTGGCCAACATGGAGAAACCCCGTCTCTACTAAAAATACAAAAATTAGCCAGGCATGGTGGCACGTGCCTGTAATCCCAGCTACTCGGGAGGCTGAGGTGGGACAATTGCTTGAACCCAGGAGGCAGAAGTTGCAGGGGGCTGAGATCACACCACTGCACTCCAGCCTGGGCGACAGAGCAAGACTCTGTCTCAAAAAAAAAAAAAAAGATACCTTAAAGAAATTTGTAGGCTTCATTTTACTTTATAAAAGGAGTTTGATTTTGAACAAATTGCCTCTGTGTGTTTTACCTTGGAGCTCTTATCTCTCTGTGTAACTTACAGAAAAAAACTCTCCACCATTTTGTGTAACATCTTATAACTTTTACTTTGTAGTATGAGATTTTGGCCTCCAAAGCTTGTGTATGTTTTGTCAGAGTTATGTTGGGTTAAATAGGTGTTTTTGCTTTTTAATCTTTTAAATTCTGACACACATCATCAGGAGCCAGGAAATTCTGTTAAGACAGACATTCTGTCTAACTTTCCCTATTTTGTCTGCCTGTGTGGTTTTACTTTTTCCTTGAGTCATGAATTTTGGAATGAACACTTAAAACAGAAATTCCTGCCCATCCTTTGTTCCATTTCGTTTACTTAGAACTGTAACATTAACATATAATTTTGCTTATTTTTAATAATTTTAGAGGAGGGAATTTATTTTCTGCAGATTGTTTCCAAGTAAGGCACATGGTCCATGTAAATAGTAGTTAGGTTTTTTTAGTTAAGACTGTAAAGGAGAAGATTAAAAACATACATACACCTCTCTTCTCTTTTACAGTTGGAAGGAGGTCTAGGTGCCTTTCAGGAAGAAAAGTATCTCATGGGAATACTGAATTCTTTACTGCTGGATAGTAATAGTTAATGCTGAACATAATCGGTTGCCCTTGTAGGAGACCAAATCCTCTGGAGCAGGTGGGCCTTTTCAGTTTCCAAGTTAATGAACTTATTTCAAAATGTATGCCCTACGACTAATTAGACTTTCTCCTTTGAAATCCATTCCTTGGGTCCCTTCCATAGCCGCATCATGTTAGCAAGAAATATTTTTAAATGGCTTGGCTGAAGTATAGATGGCCAAAGAGAACTGCCTGTTGAATTTGGCTTCTATAAAAACCAGGGGACTCTGTGGGGTTATATAAGCTCTATTTGTTTCATGAAATGACCCTTCTGTTTTTGAATTCCTTGCAGATTGGACATGCTTAAATAGTATTAGGGCCAGCCCTTTCATCTGTTTACTGTTTAGATTTTATAAGGTTCTTCATAGTCGTCATTGAGGGGAGTGGGTGAAAGACCATAACCTTTCAAATTGGAAAATAGCCATGAGAATATTAACCTATGTAATAAATGGAATCTTCTTACCATTGGGCTTTTCCCTGCTTCCTCCTTTTCTGATTCTTTTTTCAGCTCTTCTTTAGAATAAGTAAATTTTCTCAACCTAGAGGAGGCATCTTTCATAATATGTGGGATGTATTAAAATCTTCATCTTTCCCAAGTTCACTCTTTGTGGCCCTAAAGATTTGTCCCCAAGACATTTAGTGGAATCAACACACGATTCTAATTTGTGAGAATGGCGAGGTTGTTGATTGTTTGCATTTGCCTTTCTGACTTCATTTCTAAAGATGTTCTCTTTTGGAACTGAGACCCACTTTGAAGTGAAATAGCCGCTTGTAATCAGGTTTGTTTCCTGATCCGGATTCCTGTCCTTCCATTTCAGGTATTTCCCATTGTGGAAAAGTCTAATCTGAGGAACCCTATTTTCTTTCTTTCTTTTTTTTTTTTTTTAAAGCAGCTGGAGGAGTTTTTCTTCCTAGCAGGGGTTCTGTAATTAACAACAGCAGCATGTCACCTGATGGTATTAACCCAGATCTTGTGAAACCTGTGCTTGTTGCGGCCATTATTCTGCTGGATCCTCCATCCAAATGGAGACAGAGGAATTTTTTTCCTCTGATGTTGTTATGTGGATGTGTTTAGCTCAGTAGTCCTTTGTGCCTAAATTAAAAGCAAAACAAAAATTCAAGAAGTCTTTTTAAGGTCCAGGGAGTTGCACTCCTGCAAGGTGGTTGAGTGGCAGCTGCCCCTTTCTAAGACAAACTTCAGCATTTGGAGCAGAGATGCATTGCATTCTTCCTGGACATATTTTTGGGGTAGATAATTATGCTAACATGTTTATATCAATAACTGTTACACAGTGGATAGTTTCTAGGGCAAGGGAATGATCCCCCTGCCCTAACTTAACTTGGCATTACATTTTCTGCTTTTTTGATTTTTTTGCTGTCTGGAAAAGTTGCATCCAAAGTGAGAATTATTCCATATTTTAACCTTTGAGCTGGCTGCTAAGGTCTCCTTGGGGACAAGGACGGTTTGTAGTTATTTATAACCTGAAAGAAGAGCAGTAAGCCTGTAAACTGCCAGCACACACCGAGGCTTGGGAGTCGGAGCATTCTGTTGTTATCCTATTGGGTTTAGTGACTTGAGAGTCATGTACCTTCTTATTCATCTTCAGCTTGACTTGATCTATCTAGATGAGCCTTACTGGCTAGGCATTTCTATAAAATTGTAACACAGATTGAGGAGAGGAAGGAGAAATAGCCTTTTTATGTACAAGTGCATATCTAATCCTCACAATCATTTTAGAATCTATACTTAGAGATACCTGTAAACTGGGAAAATCCTACAAGTACTGACTTGAACACATAATACTATGCTTGTTTCTAGGTTTTCCTTATATACAACAGTTACAAAGCAGTTCAGCTCTTAATTAGAGAAATATTTGGCTATGACAGAAATATGTTCTATATCTTAGCCTGATATAGAAAAAATTTAGTTATATGCCTAGTCATGTTTTTACATATGTACATATTTACACTGATCTGTATTTAATAAATGTTAGTTATCTTTTCTCCATACATCCAGAATCAAACCCAGTGTCAGATACAAAAACAATATAACAAATAAAAGTAGATGCTAAGGATTTCCCTCAATCAATATATTAGAATTTTATTGTAATATGTAGTATTTAACTTGAGGCAAGGTGCAGTGGCTCACGCCTGTAATTTCAGCACTTTGGGAGGCTGAGGTGGGTGAGTCACCTGAGGTCAGGAGTTCGACACCAGCCTGACCAAAATGGTGAAACCTCGTCTCTACCGAAAATACAAAAATTACCTGGGCGTGGTGGTGGGCGCCTGTAATCCCAGCTACTTGGGAGGCTGAGGCAGGAGAATTGCTTGAACCCGGGAGGCGGAGGTTGCAGTGAAGCGAGACCATGCCATTGTACTCCAGCCTGGGCAACAAGAGTGAAACTCTGTAAAAAAAAAAAAAAAAAAGAATTTAACTTGAAATAACTTAGAGTTTAGCTTAGGTTCCTGACAGCTGCTGTAATGGTACTTCTGTAACCAGGATTGACTTATTCTGGGAAATGTACTTTTCTCACTATTGTCTTGTGGATTCAGGAACTCCCCCCCATAGCTCTGTAGGTTTCCTTTTTCTTCTGTTTTCTTGAATTTGAAAAAATTTTTAATCAGGGAAGAGTATAGTTTTGTAATGTACTCAATAAATTCTTAAAGTTGGAGTGACTTGATAGTTTTCCTTTTAAAATGTTTTATTGTTTTAAAAGTATGCCTGGATTCCTGTAGCTACATTCATTCAACAACTTCTAAACTTTAATTTATTAACTAGAACTCATTAGGGAAAAATGATCCCAAAAGAGAAGGAGTCTAGTTACTCAACCAGAATTTCATTGAACAAATATTTACTGAGTGCCTGTTAGGCCATACTAGGCACAGGGGGATACTATTCTCGTTGAGCTTAACTTCTAGTAGGGAGCACAATAGACAAGTGAAAAAATAAAAACAAGATAATTTCAGGTAGTGGTAATAAAGAAGAAAATAAAATAGGGCAGTGTGATGAGAGGAACAGGCTAGAAGTGGAAGCGGCTTCAGACTGGGTGGTCAGGGAAGACCCCTCTGAAGATAACTTCATTTGATAGGAGACCTAAATTACAAGAAGGACCGACCTATAAAAAGACCTGAGGGAAGAAAGAGCTTTGTGGGCTAAGGAAAGAGCCCAACGTGTTTGTGGATTAGAGTTAAAGGCCTGAGTGACTAAAACATCAGGATTGAGAAGAGTGTTAGAGAAGGTCAGGGAGGTATGCTGAGGCCATGGTGGTCATGACGAAAAGGTTGATTTTACTCAGATAGCAATGGAGGCCACTGAAGAATTCCTTTCTTGTCTCTCATGTGAGTCTGATGTATAAGCCTCTTCACAACTTGGAAAAATTAATTGTAAAGGCTGCTAATTCCTTTTTAAATTTTTAAATTTACTATTTGAATAGGTCACATATTTACATGGTTCAAAATTCAGAAAGTATTAAGAGGAATACAGTGGGATTTCTTCCCACTCAGGTGTACCCAGTTTCCTTCCATGGGAGTAACCAGCATCCCTAGAGCCTTGTGTCTTTTCGGAGATATTCTATATGTTAAAACAAATATACATTTTCTATTAAAAAATAGAGCTTCCTTATTTTTTTAAGAGATGCGTATTATTACATTATCTGTATCATAGTTTATTTAATCCACTGTTGATGAACTTTTAGGTTATTTCCATTTTCATGTGTTTATATATAGTCCCACAGTGAAAAACCTTTTATATTTGTCATTTAAAATGTATCAGTAGGGATACATTTCTAGAAGTGAAATTGCTGGATTAAAGGGGATGTGCATTTTTTACTTTGATAGACATTGCCCTTCACAGAGATTGTAACAATTTATACTCCAACCAGAAATGTTGTCTTTACCCTGGGTAAGTGTTATCAAACATTTTGATCTTTGCCAATTCAGTGGGTGAATCAATGTGTGATTTAATTTGCATTTTTATCTTGAATGAGAGTTGAACATCTTTTCATATATTTAAGAACCACTGGGTATTTCCATTTCTGTACACCATTGGTTGTTCTTTGCCCGTTTTTCTGTAAGACTGTTGTTGACTTTTTTATTCTTGATCTCTAGATTCACTTAGTAATCCCCCTGTAGGTGCAATGTTTAAGAATTTAAAAAATGAAAACAGGCTGGGCACAGTGGTTCATGCCTATAATCCCAGTGCTTTGAGAAGCCAAGGTAGGAGGATTGCCTGAGGCCAAGAGTTTGAGATCAGTCAAGGCAACATAGCAAGACCCTGTCTCTACAAATTTTTTTTTTTAATTTTAAAAGAAAGAAAACAACAACAACAGAAAAACAGGCATCCTTAATTTGTAAAGTTTTACAAAGCGTGAACCTGATAAAAGACATAAGAGAACCTCAGTCTTTCCTTTGCTGATTGAGGTCTGTCTGAAACCCTGAGTTTTAAGCAGTGTCTGTAAAAATTTTTTAAGTGTATTTAGTATTTTGTTGGACTAGATTGAACTGCAGAAAGTTTACTCATAACAAATATTCAAAAGTCATGTAAACCTTGCAACAATAGAAGTCAGTATGACCTTTAATAACTACCCTTGGGGTAATGAGAAATAAAAGATTACCTCCTGGGCTATATATGATTGAGCACACTATAACAGAAGAAACCAAAGGCTCCTTTTAGGACACATTAGTTTCTCAAAAATGAGTATACAAAAATCTTGTAGTTTTTTTTTGTTTGTTTTTGTTCAGTTGTCATTAATCTTTTTGGCATCTTCTGTTTTGGAAAATGCAAACATCTCGGGTTGAAAATAGTTACAACACTGGGGTTTTCTTTACTTGGAAACTGTGCAAAGCTTTAAACCAGAGGAAAACAGAGAGTTAGGCTTTTTAAAAGTCCCTAACAGACCATTCTCTGGCAAGAAGTATGTTCCCAGCCATCTAGCTTGTATATGCTGTGTATTATGTTGAACCACATGAAATTGCTGATATTCAACTATTTTTGTCATATAAAACAACAGTTTCATGATT